CTCCACATTTGTTTTAGTCACTCAAAGCAACAGCAAGTATCAGGAGGTAGCCATGTTAGTCTGTATCCACAAAAACAACAAGGAGTCTGGTGGCACCTTAAAGACTAACAGATTTATTTGGGCATAAGCTTTCGTGGGTAACAAACCTCACGTCCCCCATAATCTGCTCTATTCTATAATAGTCTATTCTATTCAGGTTTTGTACTGTTCCCATTGCTGTGGTAGATGAGCCAACACTATCACCTTCTGGTTACCAATCCCCTTCAGGAGTACTAAGTCACTTATTTATAACTTCAAAGTGGAAAGTGACAGCAAATTAGAGGGTATTTGCATATCCACCAATTCTTGGAGGGGGGAAAAAAAGGCATTTGGCTGTAAGAATGACATCATAAGTGTGCTTAGGCTAAGTGGAAGAGATACAGTTTATAATTAAATTTGGTCAAATTATTCATGATGAGTAAATTCGGAGAAATGTAATAGTTTTTCTCATTGCAAAACATTTACAAAGTGATCCAGATTTCTGTGAACATATCTATTTTCATAAATATTCACCAGTAGCTAGCATATCAGCCAACAGGTGACACACACACTTCACTGTGACTGTTTGTTTTTCACAGCATATTACCAGTTACCCGAATCATATGGCATTAATTCTGTTCCCTGACTGAAGAATAATGAATGAAGACGGGCAAATAATGAATTAAAACCACCCTTATTCATGGATGGCTATCCTTGTTAGTCAGCAAATGTGGGCATTCTTATAAAGAACAGCCATTCGCCTGCATCAACAAAAATATATCAACATGTAACTTCATGAATAGTGATTAAAAAGGGACAAGAGCCTGACTGAAGAGCTATTCAGAATTTGGAAATATATTTACAAATGATGATTATTCAGTAATCTATCTATACAATATTAAACCTAATTAATTTAAAAGAAATATTTACCCCTCTTTACCTCTAAAAAGAGAATGTGTGTGTTAAGGACTGAGCTATGGATGGTCTTTCTAACGGTCAGGGTGGGAGGCTGGCCTAGTGGTTGAGCAGAGGTGACCAGGCCTAGTGGCCAGAGCCTGAATCAGGAGCTGAGTTACCAAGTCCAGGGAGTGAGCAGGAGCTGAGGGTCGGAGTGGTGGTCAGAAGCCAAGTACCAAGTCCAGGGAGCAAGACAGAGCTGAGAGGCAGGAATCGGGAACTGAGGGTCAGAGCCAGAGTATCAGCCAGAGCAGGGGCATGAGCCAGGAGTGGAAACAAGGAACCAGGATTGGGAGCCTAGAACAAGGAGCAGGAGGCAGGAACAAATAAGGAGCTGAAAGCAGGAGCAGGATGAGAATCACAGCTAGGGGCGTGGAACACTATTGAGAAGCCAGGGCTGCTGCAGGGTTTACAAATGGCTGAAGACTCCAGCAGGCACAATCAGGAGATCAGGTTCATTAGTTGAATCAGTTAAGGGCAATGAGCTGGGTCTGGGTACAGCTTTGTGTCCCTGATAGTACCCTCCTACTTATGGGGTGCCTTCCGGGTGCCCTCAGGCTGGGTCTGTAGAGATGGGCCTTGTGGAAATCCCATAGTAGGTTTGGGGCATGAACATTTTCCTCAGGTTCCCAAGATTGTTTGTCTGGACCACGGGTGGGCAAACTATGGCCCGCGGGCCACATCCAGCCTGTCAGACCTTTTAATCTGGCCCCTGAGCTCTTGCTGGGGAGCAGGGTCAGGGGCTTGCCCCGCTCTGTGCAGCTCCCAGAAGCAGCGGCATATCCCCCCTCCAACATGTAGGGGCATCTAGGGGGCGCTGCATACAGCCTCTGCCCCAAGCATGGGTCTGCAGCTCCCATTGGCCGGGAACCACAGCCAATGGGAGTTGCAGGGGCGGCGTCCGCGGACGGGGCAGAACTCAGAGCTGCCTGGCCGATGCCACACCCCCATATAGGAGCCAGCAGGGGGACATGCCGCTGCTTCTGGAAGCTCTGGAGGCGGTGCCTGCGGATGGGGCAGCATGCAGAGCCTTCTGGCTGTGCCTCCACATAGGAGCCAGAGGGGGGACATGCTGCTGGTTCTGGGAGCTGCTTGAGGTAAGTGCCACCTGGAGTCTGCACCCCTGACCTCTTCCCACGCCCCAACCCCTTGCCCAGCACTGATCCCCCTCCTGCCCTCCAAACCCCTTGGAGGGGCACCCAAACTGGCTGAGATTTCTGTCTGGTCCAGTTCATCCATCACTTCATCACTCAAACCAAGCTGGAAATGGTGGTCTTGTGTGGTCCCATTCCATTCTGTGTCTGCTGCATGGCAACAGTTTTCTGCAGCATTGCTGGTAATCATCTGGTGGCCTTGTATCAGGGCCTGAAGCATTGACTCTGAGCGTGTCATAGAATATCAGGGTTGGAAGGGACCTCAGGAGGTCATCTAGTCCAACCCCCTGCTCAAAGCAGGACCAATTCCCAACTAAACCACTGGTTTCAGTGGTTGAAGATGTCTGCCAAGGCCTGCATAAAGTTCTTTAACTTGCCCAAGAGGGGACTAGGTTGCTCCTGCAAGGGGATCCCCAGGCTAGCACCTCTCCGATCAGGAGACTGATGACTAGGCCCACCTTGGCTCTGTTGATGGGATAAATTTGTGACCTCATCTGGAACAAATGGTAGCATGGGTTCAGGAATTCATTAAAGGTCCTGTGATCCCCATCAAATCTGTCTGGGAGGGGAATCTTTGGTTCCTTTACCACTTGAAATAATGATAGAGAGGCTGGGGCCTGAAGAATTGCACACTGGGCCTACAGAGTGCCAACCTGCCCTTGCACGGTCTGTATGGCACCCAGCAGGTCAGCTATAGAAAGGCCACCCTGGGCAGGATCCATCCCTACAGGTGACTCCAACCACTGCCCCCTCTTTCTCTGCGTCTTCTTCTCTTCAGTTTTGGAGGGCTACTCAAACTATTAAGGACTGGGCTGTGGGTTGTCTTGCCTAATGGTCAGGGTGGGAAGCTCACTTAGTGGATGGAGCAGAGGTGACCAGGCGTAGTGGCCAGAGCCCAAATCAGGAACTAAGTTACCAAGTCCATGGAGCAAGCCAGAGCTGAGAACCAGGAATCAGGAGCTGAGGGTCAAAGCGGGAGAATCAGTCAGAGCAGGGGCAGGATTCAGGAGTGGAAACTGGGGGAGGAAACCAGGGGTGGGAGCCTGGAACAAGGAGCAGGAGAAAGGAAGACGCTGAGGGCAGGACCAGAAACACAGCTGCAGGTGTGGAACATTGTTGAGCAGCTAGAGACCCAGCTGTAGGGTTTAAGAATGTGCCTGCCAATCAGCCAGTCAAGAGGCCAGGTTCACTAGCTGAATCAGCTGAGGGCAATGATCTGGGTTTGGGTTCCGCTGTGGATCCCTGACACTATGTTTAAGTTTACCTCAAATCAATATTCAAAGTTGACTTTTTTCCCAGTTAAGCATTATCTACTGCTATATTTGTACAGTGCCTAGCACAATGGAGTCTTGTTCTCGGTTGGTCCCTAGGCACTACTGTAATACAAATAATAAAAAAAACATAGAATCAGTAAGAAGATGCTTGTGTCCGTGACAGTTAACTGAACTTACTGCTTGGTCACAGCTCAGCCATCCGCCAGCACAGAAGTGTTAACACTTAAACTGGAATTTTCTTAATATTTGAGGTTTTGTATTTTTTTTTTTCAGAACTACTTATCTACCCCCACAATGCCAGATAGAAAAAAAATGCTGTCTGGGAGGGGAATCTTTGGTTCCTTTACCACTTGAAATAATGACAGAGAAGCTTTAGAAATAATACAAACTCTTTTGCCTTGCCCCTTCCTATTCCCTGAAGTTTTGTGAATGTTAGTCATCTTGTATTTAGTTCAGTTGGGAACTCTGAGATTCAGGACGAATCCACCAAACTCATTTTTCCTGCAGAAGCTTGGAAACACTACATTTATTTTGGACTCTAGTTGCTTAGCAGACTGGTGTCACAATATCATAGTACAGCTACAGGATGCCAGGCAAAATAAAGCAAAACAAACAAGTGGCGCCAATTTCATCAACAATTTTTCTAGGCACTAGAAATTCATTTGGCATCAAGGGACATGTGGCTTTCATTTATAGTGCGACCCTGAGATGAAGCCTAAAATGCTGTATTGTATGTATGACAAGGATATAGTTGTTACCTATTAGTCAATGGATGATGAGTTAACTATCTTTTCATATCCCAGGTTTCAGAGTAGCAGCCGTGTTAGTCTGTATCCGCAAAAAGAACAGGAGTACTTGTGGCACCTTAGAGACTAACAAATTTATTAGTCTCTAAGGTGCCACAAGTACTCCTGTTCTTTTTTCATATACCTGCATTTTGGGGTTTACATGTGTTTGGTAAACTTCTGATGGCCTCGTTTAAGATTTTCTGCAATTAATTACAGGGGAAGTAGGATGGACCAGTCCTTTTTCTGGCAGATTACCTCCCCTACGCTGCCAGCTCAGCTACAGTTCTTCCCACTCCATGTCTGCCTGTGTGGCAGTGGGTATAGCGGCTCTAGGATGACTGCTCTTCTGATACATTGTGACTCCACAGGTGGGTAGCCCACAAATAGGAGTGAGGGGCTCTTTATAGGTCCCCTTCTTCTTCATGGGCATGTAGATTGGCTTATAGTTCAGCCCTGAAGACCCAATTGGTGTAATGTTCATGATACTGAGATACCTACAGAAACTTCTCCCCCCCTCCAATTATATAGACTGAAACCAAAACTCAACATGTGAATAACTGTATAAAGTTTCCATGCCTTTTACACTTTGCCTCATGCCTCCAAGTGGTCTTGCTTCAATTAGAATATTTGTATTCAGCATATAAGTAAAAATCATAGACTATTTTTCACTTACTGCAAAATATTTCTGGGAAGAAGGAATGGCCAAAACCTAGAGGTGCACAAGCACTGTACTGTTCCCATAGATTGATATGGTCATTCAAGTAAATCTGTTGTTAAATGAAGTAATATTATACCATCACCAATGGGAGATTTAAATTCCTCACATTTCACTGCTTTAGCCCTGTCCTCGGTCTTGGTTCCCACTCCAAAAATCTCTCCTATAAACAAGTGAGAGAGGGAGACAAATTAACTTCACACAATGCAAGTTGGTGAGCAGTTTTAAAGCAGGAAAAGGCAGCTTAAAGAAGACTGAATAGGCCCTCTCTCCTCATGAGGGACATCTGGAGCTTGGGATTTTGTTATTGAGCTTTGAGGCTAGGTTTACCTATCAGGAATACTGGTGTGGGTGACTGTGTTTGATAGTTCAGGTATAATCATATGACAGAATATTTTCCCCCACTGCAATTTGACACCAGGCAGGAACATCCTGTGTCCCCATTACTATTTATGCCAACTTTGAGTTTCTTGGTGGTTATGTAAGGCCTTGATCCTGCAAATGTGAGAAAACCTATTTAACTATTTGCAGGCTGGGGCTATAAGAGAAAACTGTTGACTGAGGAAAGTTATGGAATTGAAGTTAAAGTTGTATACAGGTGATATATACTATTGGGACTTCCTCTGCATCTGCTATCAATCATTGAACAATACAGTGGATTTTCTGGTTTTAAGTGAAATAAATCAGCCTGAAGTATTTTTAATGCATGCCGTATAGCAGAACATTGGGTGAATTTAATTTCATGTTGTTCTAAGGAGATCACTGATTCTAGGGTTTATATTTGTCAAATCAAGATATAAGACCAGACCAATAAATATGAAGATGATTTGTGAGGAGATTATTCACCCAGTACCAAGTCTGCCTGGAGTGGAAAAGCAACAGTACAAACCATTTGCTACCTCTACTCTGCTAGAGGCCATTAAACTGGCTGGTGCAGTCCCATATGTGGGTGTGGATGGCATAGCAGGGGGCACGGCCAGGACAGTGAGAAGATGCTTCTCTCTATGAAGCCCAATTGTCCTCCTCCAGTTCAAGCAGGTGGCAAAAATAATTCCCTTCTGGTGCAGCAGGATGCAAATTGCAACCCCACTGCGCCCATAGGAGTGAATCTGGCCTAAAGTTTTTTGAATTCTGTTTCCAACCTGATAGGATGTAGGAATATCCAAAAAGTAGCTCGTAGACCAACATATATAAGTATGCTCTCTTTGTAGAAAAGACAAACCAATCTCTCATTCTATTTCTAATACACCCATTACTGCAGTACCCGAATACCATAAACATTAGCTTAATGTGGAAGTTTATATTAAATTGTAGTTGTGAGGCAAAAGAGCCCAGCTTCCCATCCCTAAACACTGGAGATCTGAATAAAGTGTGAAATGCAAACTACCTCTTGCTTTGATTTTGCAAAACAAAACTCTACTGATGAGATTTTGCAATATCCAATCATCTCCTCCCTCCCACTTTTGTCCATCTGTAACAAATAAACATGTCAAATTATAGCTGGGGCAAATCTTGTTTCCCCTCCTGGAGCCAGAGAACCCTGCTTAAGGCAGATAAGATGCACCTAAATCTATATTTATCCCTAATTTAAGTGCTTACGATTAGGCACCCTGAAATATGAACATTTTGGCCTTGGTTTATTTTATTGTTTGAACTGATTGGTATCATTTTGAAATTCATCTGCAAACCAGCATATATGGTTTGGGAGATGAAAAAAGAACACAAAGTACAGTGATTACTACTGTGAAACTACACCAGTAATGTGTCAATAAAGCCCTCCTTATTGTACATCAGAGACATGAGAACATTCATTCTCTGGAGTCAGAAATATGATTTCTGTAATGTGGCAATGGAATTAATTACTGTACAAATAAAATATTCTCATCTGAATAAACAAATGCTAACTCTGAATTCCATGTGCACAATGTTCAGCTCCTGGTATTCAATTTAGGATCATTTGGAGACTGAGTCTTTAAAGGGCCTAATTCTGCTTGCTTTACTGATGAAAGTAATCCTATTTAGGACTAGTTGGACATTTCTCATGAATATTTTAAACAAATTTTTTCTGTTTCTCATTGAAATTTCATTCCAGTGGAAAATTTACAGCCATCCATAGTCTGCATGTAATTAATGGGAATATTTGGGAGTAAAACAAGCAGGACTAGAATCACAATACAACGCTATAAATCTGACTTTAGAATGGTGTGCTCATTATAAATGTCTGAAAGTGTAAAGTGAATTTGTTTTTCTTCAGATGCCCTCTTACTAGTGTCAATGGCTTTCATGATTTAAGCAGTAGATGGCAGCATTCAGTGTACAAATGAACTGAACACATTACCAGACTTAAAAGTATAATTAAAATTCAGTTGTTACTACTAAAGTTTTAAACCTCTCATTTTTATAAAACAATTTTCATCACTATCAAACTGATATCCTATTGGAAGATAGAGCTGATAGTTTTAAGCTATTTACTGTTTCTGTGGATCACTAAACATTTGTGATACGAACAAGAAAACATTTAAAAATTGCATATACACAAGTCATATAAAATAGTTTGAAAGAAAAATGGAAAACATAAACATATCCATATATTTATAAACACACACCCAATCTTACCTCAGATGGATATCTGAAAGGGAACAGGAGCTGTTGCATACTCACTTTGAAAACCAGGCTACTTATTTGGGCACCAAAATACAGTCCTAAAAACCTAACTTTAGGAATTCATTTTGTAAAATCTTGGTCTGTGTATCCTATAGGCTATATAGGGCCTATATTTTATAGCAAACATTCTATTGCCATGTTGGTTTTCACAAATACAAGCTTCTGTTTCCCGGTAGCTGAAAGCTTCTGGGTCATGTATTATCCCTAAGCAGTGTAGAAGTCTCAGATATCAAATTTGGGTTGGGGTTTTTGGTCCTAATCTCAGCAGCAGTTTATTTTTCTCTTGCATTAAAATGAGCTCAGCTAACATATATTTGGGGATTTCATAGATTTGATTTGAATTACATACTTCAGAAAGCAGCTGATTACACAGCATTAAGACAGCAGAGTATTAGGAGCATTCGTTTTCCTTCAGCTTTAAAAAAATGCATTTAGAAATCCTGATGAATTAATACAGGAAGTTATATTCAAACAAATAGTGCATAAATTCCTTTTGGGGACTAAGGTAAAAAAAAATATCAAAGGAAAGGGTTTCAGGAGAGATACATATAAGAAGCACATAATTGATTGCAGTAGTTCACTACTACATGATTGAGTTATTATGACATAGTAAATGGACGTGGTAGGTGACTGATGTACTGAAACAGGCCAGCTGATATGGAATTGTCTCTCCCCCCCCCTTCTAAGATATTCTTGTGTGGAAATGAAAGATGGTATAAATTATTATTCCAGTCCTCCTGGGCCAAATCCTGAAGTCCCTACCCACTTCTAATCAGTCAAAACTCTCATTCAGTTATTAAAAGGGACCATTCTTTTCAGCCAGTTAACAAGTAAGATAATAAGCATTTCTCTCTCCATCATCCACCTTATTTAGTCAATGAGAATTCTGTCTGAGTGAGTACTGAGTAAAAGGTAAATAAAACTTCAGGAATTTACCCAATGTATCAGCATACAAATAGAAAAAAATATATTGGAATGCATTAATACAGTTACTATTTATTACAGCATTTATACCATGCTCACCACCCTGGTAGTGTCAGATTTGGAATGAATAATAGAATAGTATGATTTCAGAGTGACACAAATCTTACAGTCACGGCTCACAATCAGAGATTTGCCTGGAGACTTTTCACACATGTGTTCTGTGTGATTGTGCACTCCTGACATTTCACTTTTTCAAAACTATTTCTTTCTCGATGACTCCCCTGGTGAAGTTTTGACCCTTGAACATGGGGACACTAGAAGGGCCATGGCTCAGTGAGCTGTTCAACTGGTATGAAAATGTAGTGATACTATGAAATATATATATGCCTTTCTATTGTTCTTGATTGTTACTTTTTAGAAAAAAAGATTGGCAAGATTGTAAAAAGGCAAAATAAAAACAAAGAGACAGTGACTTCTAAAACAGTTGTTTGATGCCTAAATGCACCTGGAAATTTGGTCCTAAACTACTGAGAATTGATAGCACAACAGAAAGCTGTTAATCAAGTACAAAGAATTCCCTGGTTGGGAAAGGATTGGACTTCCTTGGATTTAGCAGAATCATTTAAGCTATTTCTTGATGTACAAGGCAACAGTGACAAGCAGCATAACAGTGAAGTCTGGTCTTACAATATACGTATCTCTTGGATGCTTATTTTTCATAGAAGAAGCATACATTTCTTGACAGTTCATGAATTAAAATTCATGAATGTTTAAATGTTCATTTACAAAAATGTCTCATTGAATAGGTTTTTGAGCTTTCATTATCTGTTTTATGAATTTTAATGCTTAATAATTTAATGCTTACTAATAGCTGAAAGCCAGTACTGTCACGTGGCTGTAATAGGCAAGGGTCCTTCCGCGCTTCCGGTCTTCGGGGCACTTCTGTGGCGGGTCCCGGAGCGAGTGAAGGACCTGCCACAGAATTGCCGCCAAAGACCCGGAGCGCGGAATTGCCGCCAAGGGCGGCAAAATGTCCCCCCCCCCAAATCCTGGTGCCCCAGGCGACCGCCTAGGTCACCTAAATGGAAGCGCCGGCCCTGATGATTGAACTTGGTGGTATTCTAAACAAAAAACTCTCAACCATGCTTGTTGCAGTTCTACTGTTCCATACTGACTCAAGAGACATTCTAAACTTCAGAGCGATGTTTGAGGGTATGATGGGGCATGCCTATTGTACCCCACCTCTTCCACAAATACAAACCGCTCTGAGACCTTCTTGCTAGTAAACGCCAGCATGTACTTTATTTACACTGTCTCAGTCCATCCACCTATACAAATCAATGCATCTCCTCCTTTGTACTGTTCACCAGCTTTCTTCTGGGCAGGGGATTGAGGTGTTTCTATTCAGAAAACTCATCTTCTCAGGCTGTTCTAGTTGCTCTCCTCCTCCTTCTCTCTGTCTCTCCCCCATTCCTTCTTGAGAACTTCCCTCCTGTGCTCTTTTTAAGCCACTTGCCTGTTAATGGACTAATTAGCTCTTTAATCTCCTAACCAGTCTGGCCTAGTAATCAGGCA